TGCAACTTAGCTGGGCTTGCTGACCACAGACGTGCTCTTCTTTAGTTGAAATTAGAAGGGGGAGGTTGAAGGCTTGAAGCTCCTGGCAGCTTCTTACTAATCTGTAGGGCCTAAGAATGAAGCCAAACAGCTAGACATAATCTAGTTGCTGTAGTTTAAATGGGTCGCTCAAATTATTTGTGTTGAAAACTTTATCTCCATATTCATATGTTGATGGTATTTGGAGGAGGGGCCTTTGAGAGTTGACTGGAATTATTATGAGGTCATGAGGGTGGGGTCCCTATGATAGTATTAGTGGCTTTCTAAGAAGAGGAAGAGAGACCTGAACTGGCACACTTGCTCTTCCTTGCCATGTGATGCTCTCCACCATGCTATGGTACAGCAAAAAGGCTCTCCCAAGATGCTGGTGCCATGCTCCATGGACGTTCCAGTCTTTGGAACTGTAAGACATAAACCTCTTTATTAATAAATGACCGGTCTCAGTCACTTGTAAGCAACAGAATATGTAGTAAGACATCAGTTCTGATGGCATTGTTTGGGCCTCTGAATCCAGTTGTGCCTAAAGGCAGAGCCATCCTTGGGCTATTTTGTTGGGTGAGCCAACAAATTTTCTTTGCTTAAACCAATTTCATGCAGGTGTTGTCATTTCTATCACTTTCTTCTAAAAGAATATTAAGTGGTCCCTAGTCCAAGGAGAGGGGAAGCATGATCATAGTGGGAAAAGCCCAAGACTGAGAGTTGATATATATGAATTGCTGACTCAGCCAGGATAAGGGATGTGAATTAGATGAGCTATTTAGCTTTTCTGTGCCCCTGGTTTTTATTGAGCAATGAAAGCCAAACTGAAAAATTTCACAGGGTCCCAATTCTAGTCTAAAATTCTGCAATTAATTACATATACTTAAGTCAACTTGATATACTTTTCTATACTGAGAACTTAAACTGTATGTAATTAGAAAATTTGCCTAAGCAAAAAAAGACTACTGGCAACCTTTGAGTTTGAAAGAATCATTCTTGGCATGAGTTTTTCAGTCCTTTACATGATCTTACTGTAAGCACTGCTCCTCAAACCAAAAATAAGACCTTTTGGATGATGTTTCACCAGGGTTACCAGGTGGTGACAGTTAATTATGCACATAACATTAACAATTAATGTGTTGATTGTAACTTGTGTGTGGTTCTAGGGTAGCTTCTAATCTCTGGGGTAAATACTTAAGCTTGGTCTTTTGCTTTTCGGTCATGAGAAGAGCAGTGTTGCTCCACCAAGTACTCCACCATGACATCCTGTCTTACCATAGCACAAAAACTAAGGGTCTGCCTAGTCAAGGACTGGAACCTCAGAAACTATGAACCAAAATAAAATTTTCTCCTTATGTTAAAACAAAAGGACTCAAGTTTAGTGCATGTTTAAGCTGTGGAATTTTCTACACCACAACATGGGACATGCCATTGACAGAATGTGCCATTTGAGATTGGGATTGTCCTAGAAACTACAGGATTTACAGGTGTTCTATCTATATTCAACCATCAACACAGTTTAGGTGGTAATGTTTGTTCCCTAGGGATGAGGGATTTTTCTGAATTATCACTACAAGCAAGCTGCACTGCTATAGATAAAACATTTTAAAATTACAGTTGGCCTTACATATCTGTGGGTTTACAACTCCAGATAAAACAAACCACAGATCAAAAAATTTGGAAAAACAATTTTATCTGCAGTAAACATGTACAATTTTTTTTGTTATGTTTCCTTAGATAATACAGTATAACTATTTTCATAACATGTATATTGTATTAGGTATCTTCAGTAATCTAGACATGATTTAAACTCTATTTAAGGGGATGTATGTAGATGTATTTTATGCATATCCTATGCCATTTTATATAAAGGACTGGAGCATCGTCAGAGTTTGGTATCTGCAGGGGGTCTTGGAACTGATGTTCCATGGATAACAAGATATGAATGTATTTGGTGACTATGCAAAATGTTAGAAGTATACAGACATAGAAATAATGTCTTTTATAGATTTTTTTTTGTTTTATTTTATTTACATTTCCTGTGGAACAGAAGGAGGATATGGTAAGGCAAGTGAGGGAGACAGAGTGTGAAATTTAAGTAGGCATTGCTCTCAGTCCTAGTCTAGCATGTGCATGGCCCCTAGAGTGGATGCCTCCTTAAATTCCCACAAGACACCTCTTATTGCAGAATGACGGACTATAGTCATTTTTTGAGCATGAATGTCGTTATTTTTTTGGCAGCTTTGCATTTTTTCAGTTGCAACAATCCAGGCTATTTTTCCCCAGTACAAATTCTGGTTTTGCTATGGTCCCAACGGTAGGAATACTTGCATCAATTCTCATCTAACTTAGGAACAAAATTTACAGAATGACATATGCATAAAGGAAAAAAAAAAACTTTTATGACTAGCACATAGGAAAGATGTTCTTATGATATTCTTTTTTTTGTGGGACAAATATAGAAGACATGATGTAAAACATGTTTTAAAGGACTTCAAAAGATAAAGTAGACTTGGGGGAGTCTAATCTGTCATTTGCAATTATTTTTCACTGGTTGTCTGTGAATCTGGAATGCAGTTTTACCTAACTCTGTCAGGCTGTCTGAGACAAAAGACACCTTGTTAACTTAGCACCAGTCACTGAGGGAGCATGTAAGCTTAAGTGTTTACATTATAAATGGTGGGTACCCTTGCATAAAACCCATCCTGGGCTAAAGAAGCTGTCAGATCTGAAACACATTTTTCACTAAGATGATAAAATAAACATTTTTGACTAATATATTCTCTCTCTTTCTTTCTTTTAAATGATACATTTGCCACCGCTTTGTAAGGGGCTGGTTGCTCCTCTAAGGACATAAGAGCCGGCTGCCACAAGGAAACATGAGCCACTAAGAACCGATCAACTACTGATAGTGTGATATTGATCAACATGGAGTTAGAAATTTGGTGATTTTTAAATAACTTTAAATCTTTGATTTAAAAAAGCAGAAAATGAAATCACAACTGAGCATGTATAAACAATGAAATAAAGAATTTATAATTTTTAGGAATTCTATAGGAATGGTCTTTTAAACCCAGTTTCAGTTGTTATTTATCATTTCTATCATTATCAACTGGGATTTTTCTTCCTACCAGGATAAAGTGAAAATTCCATCTTGAGGGGCTGGGGATGTAGCTCAAGTGGTAGTGTGCTCACCAGGTATGCGCAAGGCACTGGGTTTGATCCTCAACACCACATAAAAAATAAAATAAAGATATTGTGTCCACCTAAAACTAAAAAAAAATTAAAAATTAAAAAAAAAGAAAATTGATTTTGAACCAAAAATTTGAGGGGGGTGAAGGGTGAGAAGTTGTCTACAGATTGTATGCACTTGGCTTTCACTCTGGTTTTCTGGAACTTTGGAGAAGTTTTCTGGACTGCTCAAAGCCAACAGATAATGTGAAAATGAGCAGAGCTTTACCCTAGGACAAAATATTCAGGATGAGATAAAGCTCTGAAGATACTTCAGTGAAGAACTTTTTTTTTTAAAAAAATGTGACAGTAAGCCAGGTATTTTGGTGCGCACTGTAATCCCAGAGATTTTGGAGGCTGACACAGAGGATGGAAAGTTTGATTCTTTCATTAGTTCTTTCATTAGTTCACAGAAGACTCAATGCCCTCCCCATTAAGACACTGATTTATAAGAACCAGGCAGTATCTGGCTCCTGCATAAAGCTGCCGACTCATTCAGATGCGGACAAGCTTGTCTTAGCAGGCTCTCCCTCCTGTCTGCTTTCCTGGGTGCTCAGAGCCACTACCAGTCTGTATGGCCCCTGGCATTTTGCTAACAGTATTGATTGACAGGCGAGGCATTAATAATGTCCGCCTCTGCTGGAGTCTGGCTGTAGCAAAATAAGGGGGGGGTGACGAATAACTTGTCTACGGGAGCCATTTATTGTAGGACAGGAGTAGTATTTATACATTCCACATAGCTTATCTAATTAACATAAACTAGATACAGCAGTCAACCAATAAGGAATTTCCACACTTAATGGCTTGCTTTTGTTACTTTTCAAACCACTCCCTCTGGCATTTTGCCAGGCACCATCCAGACTTGTTTACAAACTCTAACATTTCCCCTGGCAAAATGCCAGGTATTATTTTGACTTGTTTACAGACTCTAACACCTGGGTCATCTTCTCATCCCCCTCCCAATCCACCAAGCTTTACTTCTGTAGAAGGGTCAATTCTCAAAGGGCTGGTCTTGTGTGGATTCCTCATTCTGCAGCCTATTCCACTGAGACCAGAGAGGCAGGTCTGTCTCTGGGCACTGTGATTCAGGGCTTGTCCAGGCACATCTGAGACCTCGTTTTGGTAGGCCAGGCCCTTTTTCACAACCCCCTTTCTAACCACTGATTCCCCACCACTATCCATATTAGTTTCTCAAGGTTAAAAACACTTCCCTGTTAAACTCCCTTCCTTTCCTCCCTGTAAAGTAGACAATGAACCTAATACACGTTCCTTTCTGCAAACGGGAACACAGAAGCTTAGCAAGGTTAAGCTTTGGTCTTGGACAAGAACTTGGACCTTGAATCCAAATCTAGTGTGGCTGCCATTCGTTTAGAGGGGGCTAAGGCTATCCGAAGAGTTTTCCATGTTTTCCCAAACTAGCACCATCATTCTTCCATTTCAATTCCTAAGATCAGAATTACCTACCGCCTTCCATCCCACAGCCCCACCTCTTTTCCTTTCTATATAGTTGCTTGAAGTTTAGGGAGATTCTAACTGATATTGTAATTCATTATAATTTTACGAGTCAAAATAGATTAGTCACGAATAGTTAATTCACTCCATTGCACACAATAGCACTCGCGTGTAGTCTTAAACCATCTGTGAGAATGGAGGCAAGATTGGCCAGACTGATTGGACTGCGTGCTATCTCCTGTGGATTCTTCCACAGGTTTTGGCAGTGAGTCATCCTGGAGAAGTAATCAAGAACTCACCTTGCTGCGACCTGTGTATTCCCTTCTTGCTCCTGGAAAAATTCAAATTTATAAAGATTCTTCGGCATGGTTCAAGTCCCCTAAGGCGGGATAAGTCCTTTCTGTTCTTTACTTCAGACACACGGGGGCGCACGACCGCAGCGGCTGCGGAGAAGGTAGCGGGGCGACGCTCTTGCGAGGACGTACTCACGTCCTGAAGGCCTTTCGCCCTGATCCGGAAGCTAGGGCGTCGCACGGTGCGGCGTGGGCCGCTGCCTTGGAAACGAGGAGTAGTGCGCTCCCCGCTGGAGCTGCGGCGCCCTAGCTACGGCCCTGGTCTGGGGGAAGAGGTTACTGAGAGTGCACGATGCTGTGTGCCCGAAGACTGGGCAGCCTCGCAGCCGGACTGGCGGCTCTGCGGCCGGGGCGAGCCGCTCGGGGCAGTCTCGGAGCCGGGATTCAGGCTCGAAGGGTCAGCACCAGCTGGTCCCCGGTGGGCGCCGCATTCAATGTCAAACCGCAGGGCCGCCGCCTGGACTTGTTCGGCGAGCGCCGGGTGAGCGGCGTGGGAGGGGGCTCCCCAAGTCTGCACGACCAGCGGCGTTCCGGACTAGGTCATTCGGGTCTTGGAGGAACTGGATAGCAAAACGTTGCACTGTGGGGTGTCTTTGGCCCTCGGGGTAACCTTGCTTGCTACCTCTTTGAGGGTCCTATTTAAAGGAGGATCGGCGGGGCAGTCTTTAGTGGCCCCTCCACTAAATTGTGGACTTGCGTCTGCGTGAGCAGCCTGTTACCAATGAATTTAAAACAGTTGGTTCTGGCAGTAGCAGTGAATTTGGTCTGCCGGTCCCGCCCTCTCGCTATACTCAGCCCCACCCCTGCTAAAGTTTGCTTTTGCTTCTAACCTATGGTAGTGCCTTATGAGGCCTTGCCCTGCAGGTGATATCAGGTAGCCGTTTTGCAGGGTCACACTTGTTTTCGGCGGCGTAAATTGTAATCCCATTGACCCCTAACTACCATTACCCATTCATTTATCATTTCAAAGCTGTGTTCTTATATATATATATTCCTTTAAAACACAGAACTCCGTTGAGACGAGCCTGATTTCTAGAGTTCTGTGGTTAGAGCTGATCACATTGATTTACCCTAGGAAGTCATTAAACCCGGTGGTTTTGGTTCTTATTTCTGTCTCCATTCTGCCTATCATGGTGTCATTCAGCAGGCACTCCTGAATGAATGAATAAATGAATGAACGAACAAATCAATAAACGATTGATTTGTTTAATCGTCAAACAAAGAAAAGTCAAAGAAAGTCAAGCTTGAAAAGGACTTGTTGGATTCCTATTTTACTTTGCATGTATAGATTTTGTTCATTTAGGTTAAGGATCAGTTTTGTTTTTGCCTTTCAAAATTTCTTCGTTGTACTATTGCCTTCCTTATAAAGAGGAATCTAGGATATGTTTGCAGTGAACTTACTTGTATGTTTGTTTCTATCTTGTCCCCTTCATTAACTTTAAAATTCTTTTTGCATGATATTTCATATGGGTACATAATGTTGGTATTAGTTGGTTTGAGGAAAACTACCTATAATTACTGAATAGAAAGATGGAAAGATAAGCTTCGTTTTGAATGGATAATATATATAGCTAGTTTTAGCTTTTTTTCTTTTGTGCATTATGTACTGATAGCATATTTTCTTTTGTCTCAAAAAAAAGTTTGTGTAGTTTTTATGATTACCTTGTCAGGTATTCCAAGATTTAGAATTCTTGAGTGCAATCTGGAAGATTGTACAGGAAAGCTTATTCTTTAATCAAATTAAATCACTGTAAATAATTAAATTTTTTTGGTTCCCATTCTACTCTGCCTCCAAATGTATTTTATTCGTTTTCTTCAATTTTTTTCATATTCTTGAAGAGAGTTTAACAACTTCATTCATCTCTTTTTGTGCAAACAGTGGGCTTTATCAGACTTGTAAGTTTTACAGTTGGTGTTTCCAAAAAATCTCCATGATATTAATCTATAAAGTTAAGCATCTGCTCAATTTGCTTGTTTCCTTCACTGAGTTCCCCTATGTGTTAGACATGCTATTGAGCATCTCATTAAAAAATGAAGGTCAGAGTTCCTGTCTCTAGGAGCTTATCTTCTCAGAAGAGAAGACTTTCAAATATATAAATTGCAGTAAATTGGAAAAAATGTGGACTTTGCAGATGTAAAGAACAGGTACAAGTTCTGGCTTTCCCACCATCAATGAGTGGTCTCAGCATGTTTTTGCTAACCTAAAACATATTTGGGTATCTAAAAGGATAGTCATACTTCCTACTCTAGGATTATGTGATTTAGATGAGAGACCCTACATAAAGTACATGGCACACTTCATGACATGTATTTGATGCATACTGTTTTTTTCCCTCTCCCTTCCTGAGGGTATTAACTAGAATGTTTGAACTGGTATAAGAGAGTGGTCATTCCCAATAGATTAGTGATTTTTGTCTTTTTAAAATACTGAAATGTCTTTGGAAAGTATAAATTTTGCTGCCAGTTTTAGTTTGTGATTTAGTTTAATGTGTTCATTAAGTTTTTCTGAATATTTACGTGCTTTATAGTTAATTCATCCTCCCTATTTTATAATTGTAGAATAATTGATATTCTGTACTGAGACCTTACTCTATGCTAGGCATGATCATAAATACTTTACATATGCTTTGTAATTCAGCATCCATATGCCTATTGTGAGAATAGGTACTGTCATCCTCATTGTACCTGATGAAGACATCGAAGCCTAGGATAAGAAATAGCTTAGTCAAAGTTACAAGCTAATAATGATTATCACTAACTTCAAGTAAGTGCTTTCAGTGTGCCAGGCACTGTTATAGTGTTGTTTACAAGAATTATTTTGTTTAATTGTCCTGATTTGAAGCTACAGAGGTGACAGAACTGAATTGAAACCATATCATTCTATTTTTGTTTTTTATGAAAATTGAAGAAAAGTTAAATACTTAACATCTTCAGTCTAATCTTTGTGGAGTGACACAGGTAATGTGATGTGATAGCCACAGTGACAGGTATCATGATATACCAATGAAAACCAGGATTCCCTTCATGAAAAATGTATTTTTAGTTAATACAAACCAATCATAACTTTGGTTTAAACTATATTTATTGTTTGGATTTAAGGGTCTTTTTGGAGTTCCTGAGCTCAATGCACCAGAGGGGTTTTATATTGCACAAGAAGAAGCCTTGAGAAAGACAGAGTTGCTGGTGGAGCGCGCATGTTCTACCCCTCCTGGGCCCCAGACCGTGCTCATCTTTGATGAGCTCTCTGATGCTTTGTGTAGAGTGGCTGACTTGGTAAGACACTTTGTCTAAGACTTGAGACTATCTCTTTTTCAAATGATTAACATTTAAATAAAGTTTGTCCTTTGTTTTTTTAAGATTAATATTAGACTAAGCTTAAAAATGCCTGAAATTATTTGAGAGCTGTTGGGTATAAGTCATGTTGAAGTATGACAATGGGAATGGGGAAAATATATAGGAAAGGTGATATTTATGACTAATTTAATATGTATATATGAAATAAAATATTCATGTAATATGTAATAAAAGAATGATTACTAATACAGCAAAGATTTTTTTAAACAAAAGTCCCTTATTCATGAAAGCTTCTATCAAAATTCTAATGGAATTTTTTTGTACATTTATAACATAAGTCCCCTTTTTCATAAGAGGAATAAAAATTTTTTATAAACCTTTCAGTATTGCCTTTTCTGATGTCAAACCAATTATTTTTAATTACATTTTAAAATTGAAATAGAATTACAACTAGATTTTTTCATCAACTGAGAAACTCAGTGCTGAGAAAAGTGTGATTTTCTCTCAGTCCCCAAACGTCAGATCTTGCTTAGTGAAGGTGATTAGTGGTACACATAATCTAAATTTATGATCATTCATGATTCAGTCTATGTGATATTTAACTATATACCTCTTTTCTCACATTCACTCAATGCTGAGCCGAATACTATACTATGAATACAGTTATGAACACAACAGACACAATCTCTGGCTAAATGGAGCTTATATTCTGGTGCTTCCTTGTTTTTAGATCTAACTAGGTAGACAGTAGGCCCAGGTGATAGCTTTACCTGGATAGCTTTACCTCTCAGCATATCTCCACCCACCTCTTATCCTCACAGATGGCAACCACTAATCTGTTCTTCATCCCTATAGTCTTGCCTTCTCTAGAATGGCATGTAAATGGAACCCAGTATACCTTTTGAGACTATCTTTCACTCAGCATACTTCCTCATTTTTGGGTTATTTTTCTTTTTTAGAAAATTTCTTTCCTCCTCTGCATTTGAATTGAGCAGTAACACATTTCAGATGATTATACTCCACTATAATAGTCAGTTTTAAGAAAATTGATAAATTATCATATTTTAAAGGATCTTCCTCAGGAATGAAATTTGGGGCTCTGAGTAGTCAGTTCTCAGTTCAGTTATACTGGGTTTTCTTCATCTCCCTCTGGTATGTGCATAGGACATGTTTCTTTGATGCTGGAGAAGCTGTGGAGATGCACTGCCAGAGGAGCCTTATCCATCTAATTGTTTCATTGAAATCTGAAAAGGAAAATGAATGTTACAGATTTTACTTATATATCATCAAAGATTGGCTTTGGTAGTCAGAATCCTGGAATTCACTGTTTATTTTTTGTCATAGTCTCCATCTTAATTAAGCCGTGTTCTAGTATTTTACTCTACATTTTTGTTTTTGCTTTTTACTAAAAGATTTTTGAAATTTCTGCCCTATATCTTGTCCGGTCTTGAGTTTTAAAAAAATATTTGTAATGTATAATAGTACCTCATTTTAAAAACTTTTAAAATCTAGAACATGATTTATATGCATTAATCTTGGTCAAATAATTCAAAGAATGTTTTTCCTTTTTAAATTTTTAAGATGTTATTACTTATATGATCAATATCATGGTAGTAAGGCAGTAGTTTTATAAATTCTCAGCATATGGTCATTTTGTTATTCTTTTTTTAAAACAGTTTTTATGTAATAGAATTATTTTCCTCAACACCATTATAAATAGACTTTTAAAATGTGTGCTAGAGTTTTGATTTTTAACATTGTAACTTCTGCAACATGTAGATTTTTAATTTATAAAATATGTTGTAAATTTTACATAGCTTGTTTTTCAAGTGCTTTAGTATAAAATATTATTTTATTGTTCCCTGTTGTTACAAAAGATGTATCAA